AGAACTCATTAAAAGATGGTCTGTTTTACTAGAAACCTAAAAGATGTGAATCAAAATGATATCCCCATTCATCTATCTTACATTAATTTATTCAACAAACATCTGTTGAGTTATCACTACATTCCAAACACTATCAGTTTAGCAAAGATTTTTTAAATGGTAATAATTTTAGGATTGAGTAAGTTAAGTACTTCATACACTGTGGAAAATAATTTTACAATATTCATCAAGAACCATAACACAGTTACTACTCCGTGACCCAGTAATTAAACTTCTTGGAATTTATCCTAGGAAAATAATCAGTGTGGCAGACAAAGATTAATGTATGAGGATGTTAATCATAGTGTAATTTATAATATCAAACACATTAGAAACGTAATGTCTAACAATAAGGAGTGATTAAATAAATTATGGTCCATTCAAACGATGCACAATTATGCAGACATTAAAATTATGTTTTCAAAGACCATTTATTGATATGGGAAAATGATCATGAAAAGTTTTAAAGCCTGAATTTTGAAAAGAATCTCATCTAACGAATTAAAGTGATATATTCTATGATTTGGGGCTTATTTTTGCTTCTTCCCGCAAGCTTGTTATCTGATACTTCTCCTGCAAGGAACATAACATTTCTCCATATACATCTAATTTCAGATGGGCATTAAATGAAGAGTCTCAGAGAAAAACACAGAAATTGCTAGAAGGAATGTGAGGAACAATGTGGCTCACTACAGGTTAAACATATAACAAAGTACTGAAGGATGCTCAAATGGTGGGCAGGGGCTTAACAGAAAGCAAGAACAGAGAAGAAGGAGGAAGAGGAAGGAAGTAGAATATAAAAGATCTAGACTACAGCAGAGAGAGAGAGAGGTCAGAGAGGCAGGAGGAGAGCCAGAGGAAGACAGAAGTCAAAAGGGACACCACTGAATGTTAAGGAAATTCTCTGCACAATGCCACAGTACTAGAACTTAAGAAATTCCCTTTTTGATGTATTTATAGTTTTATGTAGATCAGACAAGACACTTACAAGAAGCATTATTTGTTTCTTGTAACACCAACCACAGGAAGGGCCAAAAGGGATGTCATGGTAGAAAAAGCAGAACCATCTCACTGCCATGAAAAGCATAACAACAAAAACTGAAAGTCTGAGAGCACCAAAATAAACTGTCTGTACAAAAGATGATTATAGTAAAACAAGGAGGAAGCAGCATCTTGGTTTTGGAATTGCTGAACTGTGCAAAGGCAGAAACCAATCTGCACGGTCATTTGCATGAAGAAGCCCAAGGATCCCACATCCACAGTGAAAACAGGAAAAGCTGGATTCAACCAGACACAGCTACTCTGGCCACTCCTGAAGCACAGCTCCTCTGCATTTACTCACTGGTGCAGGAGGGGTCTGGACGACAGGCTTGTAAGGAACTCGGCAACCATGGTTGGCTTCCCATGATACCAAATATGACATGCCAGGCCAGGGACAGCCAAAGAAGCCACTTGTGAAAAGGTCAACAGAGCACAGGGGGCTCTTCTGTGAGTGAATGCTGACAATCTTTCATAAAAGACTGGTGGCAGGAAATCACCTCATAAAGAGTACATCTAAGGGCTGAGGTTATGGCTCAGTGGCAAAGTGCTTGCCTGGAACATGGAAGGCACTGGATTGGATCCTCAGCAACCACACAAAAATAAATAAAAATAAAGCAAAGGTATATATATATATATTTAAAGAATACATCTAAAAGGTGGTGAGGTGACAATTTCTTGTGTGACTGTAAGAAAATAAGCAGACAGTAGCTCAGCATTATGGTGTCAGTTATTTATAACTCGTCCTGTACTACTCCATCGCTACACAGGGGATCCATGTGGACTCTTCATTTAACTGAAAATCACCATTGAGTCTTTTTTTTCATATTTTCATTTTTTATTGATTGTTCAAAACATTACAGAGTTCATGATATATCATCTTTCATAC